AACTGTCGGTAAAATGAACTTTCGGTAAAATGATTGTCGGTAAAATAATACGTCGGTAAAGTGATTGTCGGTAAAGTAATACGTACCCTTCGCAATTGTGACATTCTGGCTTGCGCTTCATTTTCTGGCACTGATAAGGTAGACTGATTATTTAAGATAGAATGATGTACGGTTTTCGATTCCGATAAATTTCCACCTTTAGATAATTCCGCACTAGAATTGTCCTTCTTTTTTCTGCTAGTCTTTTTTGACACTGGTTCGCTCGAATAAATTACTTGCTCAGAATTTCCAACACTTGATGAGCTATGCTTAGGAGAGATTTCTAGTTGGGGTGTCGAGATAGATGAGTCATTAAAAGCCATTTCTATTCCAGGTGGATGAGGATATATCCGACCATTTACAATATCATCATATCTATCACTACCGATTTTATAATCTCTACATATTTTGCATTTTCTATTTGGTATCTTTTTTGCCTCCACGTCCCTTATTTTTTGGATATTTTCGGGAGACAATTTGGTGGCATTGGAGTTGAGATATGTTCGAACTCTGGATTTAGTTCAGGTTTCAACCATTTTAGAAAAATATATAATGATATAAAAAAAAAATGTCTGATTTAAATCCAGGCAAACACCCATTTATTCCTAGTATGTTATCGAGCAAGAATTGAGTAATAATCGGGCACAAATCAGGCAAAACCCAGGTAATAATCAGGCAAAAACTGGGTAATAATCAGGTATTAATTAGTAAAAAGCTGATTCGTAATTAGTTTTCTTTGATAATAATTTTTTTGTTAAACATAATTCTATTTAATTATATGGCACCAATACATACCTTAAATAGTGGATCTACCGTTGCCGAAAATTTTCAAGGGCGTGGATATAAATTAGATAGCACTAGAGAACGTGAACTTGAATCTGAACGTAATGAGTTACTCATTAAAACTGAATTTTTTGCTAATAAATGTTCTGATTTTAGAAATGCCAAAGTGCTTGCAGAAACACGATCAGATGGGCTTGAAAAAGAGTTGAAATCAAAAAATGAAAAGATTTTGCGTCTCCGGAAAGAGTTAAATCGAACCAGCGATGCCAAAATACAAAATGACTCGAATATAAAACAATTCAAAGAAGGAATCAAACAACTCAAAGAAGAAATCAAACAGTTACAGAGTAAAAACACTAATCTTGTATCCCATTATTCTCTTAAAGAACTTTCTCTTACTGGATATCAAACCAAGTATTACAAAAAAATGGAAGAGGCGACCTATCTTCAATCTAGAATAAAGTTATTGGAAGAGAAATTATTTTCGGCTCAGAATGATTCATCTCTAATAAAATCCGAGTTTTTGTCTCTCAAATCTAAATTAGCTGAATTGGATCAAACAAAAGATGAATTGGTGCAAACAAAAGATGAATTGGTACAAACAAAAGATGAACTATCTTTAAAAATCGATGAGGTGGAACGTTTAAAATTGGAAGCCATATCTCAAAGTTTGCATGATCAAATAAAATTTCCATCAGATAAAACAATTGCTGGGGGGTATGAGCCTCAAGAAAACGTTTCTAAAGTATCTAATATTCCAGTTGATAATAAATCTAGTTTAGATACAAAATATCCTGCTCCAGAAAAAAGTCTTCGTAAATATTTACGTGAAAATATAAAAATGCAACTACGAAAACCAGAAGTTTCAGCTACGTCTCCCGAAATAAAAATTGTTGATACTAATTCTCCAGATAAAGATAAGTCTGGTACCTCTTCATTTAAAGACGATACATTACAAAATATCAAGCCAATAAAGATCGACGTTCCCAGTGGAAATATTCCCAACTCCTCTTTGGATAAATCGAATTCTGGGATTTCAGTGGGAGGAACAGAAGCAATTCCTGCTATGACAAGCGTCTTAGGTTTACCAAAAACGGTATGGCTATTGCTTGTTTTGTTTATTATTATTGTTGTATGGGTTAGATCTATATGGAAAGCAAAGAAAAAAAATGAAAACCGGGATCATACGAATACATTTTTATTTAATTGATTCTTTAATCCAGTAATACGCAAAGGTAAGAACAAATTTTTTAATCCAGTAATACGTAAAGGTAATACGTAAAAGTATGATCCAATTTTTCGATCCAGTATTACGCAAAGGTAATACGTAAAAGTATGATCCAATTTTTTGATTCAGTAGTACGCCAAAGTAAGAATAAAATTTTCGAATCGGTAGTACGTCAAAGTATGATCCAATTCTTTAATCCAATAATACGCAAAAGTATGAGCCAATTTTTCAATCTGGTAGTACGTCAAAGTATGAACCAACTTTTTGACATGAAGTGGTAGCACACCAAGGTATTTTTTTTGGTAGTACGTCAAAGAGAGAAATTTTTCAGGAAAGAGGGGAAAATCGGTAGTATATAAAGTGATATGCAAAAGGCCAAAATTTTTCAAATCGGTAGGACGTCAAAGCACCAACTACACGAGAAAGGCTTCCAGAGACGTAAAACATAGCGTACTCGCGGTAGTACGTCAAGGTATAATTATAGAAATATATATTATAGAAATTATGCTTTGGCGTACTACCAAGTGAGATAACAATTCGGCACTTTGTGCCTCACCCTCGATCAGTAATCGAATGCATCATGCAAAGCCAGATCATGAATACTATTTCGGCACTTCGTGCCTCATCCTCGAATTTGAATGTGACATGCAAAGCCAGATCATGGACACTATTTCGGCACTTCGTGCCTCATCCTCGAACTCAAATGTGACATGCAAAGCCAAAATACAGATTGCCAATTCGGCACTACGTGCCTCATCCCTCATCATAAAAGCAAAAATAAGCATTTTCCTGAAAAAATGTCCTTGGATAAAACGGCTCAGATCAAGTTCCTGATATACACCTAAATCTAACCGAAAAATTCCAGTCAATAACTTTTTCGCATATCAGAAACCATCTCTAAAGCATTTTCCTGGAGTGATACTTATAGATGACCGTCCACACATGTGGACGATGGCCACAAATGTTACATGGCGGAGACTGAAATCGCAGAGACTGATTTTTTCGACATGTGGCCAGAAGTTGAGCTAGTAGGCTTGCCACAATCAGTGCATGGAACTCGTCTTTTTTGCTTTCCAATGAGTATTACAACCTTCAGGTCGCATACAAGGTTTACCACAAACTTTACCAGTGTTATGATAAAATGGGAATGTGGCCTGACGACAGAAATTGGCCAGGATGCTTTGCATCCAGTTCGGGCATAGCCCTCACAATCGGAACTTCGTGCCTCAGCCTCGGGTGACGAAAGCAATCAAAGGACCAAAAAAAGCCAAAAACCTCATCAAAAGGAAACAAATATCAAGCCAACTAGACGCCAAAACGGGTACCCATAAATGAGTAGGTAACAGTTTAGTCATAAGTATGTAACAGTCTAGTCATAAGTATGTAACAGTCTAACGCAAGTAGGTCGCAGTATATATATACTGCGACCTACTGCATTGTTATTATTGGAACTAGATTGAAATCCTTGAGCTGTATGCTAGGGAAGAATAACTATATAATTATTTGGTTATTTATCATTTCATTATACTTATTGGACATGTCATGAGCTTGTGATTTACTTGTTTGTGATAATGTAGTATCGATGCTCTGCTCATTATAGTTATGATTGAGCCCAAAATGTTTATGTAACATTCTGATCAATAGTTAAACATAGTGATATTTTTTGATGAAAATTTACTAATTTTTTTTTCCTCTATAAAAAATAATGAATTTAATTATAGTTACATATAAAATTATTAGTTAATATTAATAAATTAATAGTTGCATATAATTTAATGATTATTTTTTTTAAATTTTTCTTGCAATTGATCTGCAAAGTGAATATGTGCATCTACGATTTTTAATACTTTCAAAGGCCTTTTCAACATATTTATCATATTCATCATGAGTTAAATCTAAACAATCAAGTGAATGTTTATAACTCTTACTTCCCCAATATGCAGTATCATAAGAAACTTTAGCAATGATATTATCTGAATCATTATCCCAATGTCCTGACATTGGGATTGTTTTTTTAAAAAATTGTACATCAGTTATAATGTTAAAATATTCTTTTAACAAGATATTATTTATGAGTTTAAATGGGCTGTTGGTTAGGTTATATTTATTTTTTAATCTTTTTTCAACTGGGAAAAAAAATTTTATAAATTAAATATAAATTAAGTTTAAGATTTATTATGGATATATTCATAAAAATGAAAAATACCTTTATCCATAAGCTCCAAGCATTCAGGAGATCCATTTGTGAACATATCATCCATTTCTATTAATTCTAACCATCCATTTGGTTTTGCCACCCTTATCATTTCACCTATAGCTTTTGACCAATCATTTATTTGTATGGAGGTTTTCATATATCTCATAAACACATAATCAAATGTATTTGATTTAATATTTAATCCAGTGATTATATTTCCCAGCAAAAAATTTACATTATTAGGTCTAATTTCATTTGGAAATGTTTGAAGAATATCAACAGCCAAAAAATTAGCATTTGGGTATGTTGTAGCCATATCTAATGTCCATGTGCCACTTCCACAACTTTGAAATAAAAAATCACTAATTAATAATGATTCAATTAATTAATTAATTACATAAAAAAATAAATTTTTATTTAAACTCACCCAACATCCAGCACATCAAAACCATATCCATTCTCCAATTGTTTTGTAATCGGTGCTGAAAAATTAGTTTCATCCCAAATTTTTTTGTGCAAGAAATGAATTGTGTTTGTTCTTGCGAATTCATCATCATCATCAACTGGAAGAATATCAGTGATTTCTTCTGTGCAAACTAAATATTTACGATTTTCATAATAAGATATCATCGTTTCTGATGATGATTGCTGATTTGAATTTGTGACTGCTTTTTCTTTATTTTTTCGTTTTCCTAGTGATGAAGGTTTTGCCCCCATTGTTACAATTAATAATCTAAATGATTGGAAATTGATGTTAACAAGAAAAAAAAAATGAATGAATGAGGAGAAGGAAGGAATGAGGTAAATACAACCAAAGATAGAAAAATGGGAAGAAATGAAAAATAATCATTTTAATTAATAATATTAATAATATTAATAATTAATTGATTATATAACATATAACTAATATTATATAAGCCGTGCGCTTATATTTTCTAGGCGAGTTTAATTAATGATCTGCGGGGTGCATTTCTACATTTTATAAATAAAATTCACGCCATATTATTTTAATTAAAATAAACCTTTGTAAATCATTTTTCTTAAACTGTCAAGGCATCTTTCTTTTAACTCTTTACACAGAATTGGTCAAAGATTATTGTAAAAAAATTATCGTGTTACACACTTAAAAGGATTACTGCCATCACGTGGTTACTCAATATATAATCATGTGACGCGTATTATACATATATGGCTTGATTATAAAAATTACAATCTTTGAACTTTATTACTATTACATTTATACATTTAATAATGAAAAGATTACGTTAAGCAACGAACTGCGTTATTAAAAAAGCAATCTGGAGTGTTCAGGTGAGCTTAAAAAACTAAATAATGTACTATGAAAAAGACTATACTAAAGACCCCTATCGCTCAAATTTCAAAAATAGCTATTTCTTGATTTGTTCGAAAATGCAATAAAAATTTTTAAAGGGTATTTCCAAAAACGGACTTCACGTGATATTCTTATTGCAAAATTTATTAATGATTTTTACACACTAATCTAAATTTGACAATGGCTAGCGCTCAAAAATTATAGTAATAGTGATAGACTACAACAAATAAATTTTTTGACATTATAATATAAATAAAGACCTATTATATCAACCAATGTAGGACAGAAATTAACTCTACTTGATCGAGCCAACTATACTAATACTATATTAACTGAATATTTTTAAATCACTTGCAAATCTTTTCCTAAATAATAATGCACATACTAATATAACGTTGATAGAATCAGACCAGTATCATATGCATGCTTGATTACATTATGCAAATATCAATATGGACCAAGCTATCTATGCAATAAGCAGATCATACGGTATGCAAATAGAGAGGCGGCCGTATATAAAAATTCGATTATTTTTGAAAAGAAAATTTCTAATATCAATCATCGCAAATCCTCAAACTCAAAATCCGCATAAAGACATAAATTAAAATTTCGTCATATTAAGTAAAGCTATCAACTGACCATTATTTTTAAAGTTTACTATATTTTTAAAATTTTGCTTTTCTAAAAAAGTCAATAATTAAAAGATTTCGAAATTTTCAAATTGGAGTTTAGATCTAAAAAAGTCAAGATGTAGTCAATTGTCATTCCATCAAGAAAATGAGAGAGAAAAAGAGGTAAATTTTTATTCTCAATGATATTAAATCGTGCAAAAAAAAAAAAATTTTTTTATGTATTTCATCTTACCATTAATCATGATGGTAAAGTTTTAGTTATGTGCCACTTGAAATCAGGGTTGACAATCAAGCTCCTAAATTTTTGTGTTGAAGAGAATAGGGGTGGTATGATTTCTCTTGAATTAGGAGTGAGAACCTTCATGACTGGATATAACCCATTAATGCTGAGGTCATAGGATGGGGAAAAGTAAAATGAGTATAGTTGGTTCAGTCCAAGGACCCTCTAAATTTTGCGCAAATTTTAAAGTATAGAAATTACTTTCTTCTGTTTTACCTTTTAAAAAAATAACCTTATTAGTTAATGTAATGAAGAGATTTCGTCAAAATTTATTTGTTATAGAGTTTTATTTATACATGAGGTGGCAATTCTTTTGCCAAAAACGTAATTACGAAATTAATTACGAGTGGCGAAATTATTTACTGTTATTGTGAAAGAAATCAATTATGGGTGTTGTAAAGTCCATGCTTTTTACCCTTTATAAAGTACTATATAAAAGTACCAACAAAATTTAAACCATAAACAATATCTTGTCTTTGAAGTAAAAAAAAAACCCATTTTAATAAAAGATATTGTCTCCACGAGTGATTCACTTAAAATAAAACATGTTTTCTGTGACAGGCACTTTAATTATTATAAAAATACAAGTTGATATTTTACTTATTTATTATCCTAAATGATGTCTTTAAATATAAAAAAACACATATTGATTAATATAATCAATTAATTGTTTATATATAGTAACAATTGGTCAGCTTCAAAATGTCAAAGCAAAAATTTTTTATATCATTTTAAAAAAGTTAACTGATAAGTTTTGTTGTTCATGACTCAAGCTTCAAACTTATTGGCTAGCTTTTTCTTAAATTAAAAATTGGCATTTTGAAAATTCCAATTTTGTTATTATTATACACTTAAGAAATGGAGATTAGTAAATTTCTTGTAACAATTTTTTTCGTAGAATATTTTCTATAACATAAATTGATTTATATTATTTATTTCCTTTTTTTGTTAATAATAAAAATTCTTTACAATAAAAATGTTTAACGAACATATTACATCAAAAGAAAATATTGTAACACGGAAATTATTGGAATTTTTAACTCAAATTTAAAGAATCCATGAAAAAAAAATTTGAGACAAACTTTTTTTCTAGAATCTTTTTTAAATGGTACAGTCTCCGGCGAAAGTAATGGCGGTGATAATTTTTTTTAAAAACTAAAAATTTTTAATAAGCAACTATCAATAAAATTTTATTTTTAAAACGCCTCCAAGTAAAACAT